ATTTAGGTTATATTCAACAGCCATATTTTAGAGAATTCATGAGTGTAGCTGCCCTGTCATATCTAGAAAAGTCATCCTGTAGCAAAGTTCCTTACCATCTGATTATTGCTATCATTCTCCCTCATATTCTAAGATATACCCTAAGTCTCAAGTGTAATGGGTTTATCATGAATGTTATAACTGGGGCTGAACATCCCATAGACAATTGTTTTCCACAAGCTAATAGGTAACAATGTCTCCTTCTGCTCCAAAAAAACATATCACACAGAAACTATATTAATTACAAAACTTTGGCCTATTATCTCCAGGTTTTTATTAACTGACTCTCACATCTTAAATTAACCCATTTCCATTAATCTGTGTATCACCACAAGGCTGTTGCCTACTGCTAAGTTTCTGGTCTCATTCTCCTTCAGCAACTACATGATCTCTCCCCTACTCTGACTATTCTCTCCATATATCTCTTCCATCCTGATTATATTCTGCCTTGCCACACGCCAAGGCAGCTTTATTCATTAACCAATAAAAGAAACGCATATACAGGAGGACATCCCACATCATCTCCCCTTTTCTGTCTAAATAAAAAGGAAAGTTTTAATTTTAACATGGTAAAAATAAAATGTACAAAACATTTATCAAGCAAGAATAATAGTTACAATATTTAGTTTTATATCTAGTTTATCCTTTATCATAACTAAGGAAAACTGTAACTGTAAATATCTTTCTTCAATTCTTAAAAGACTCCAGAATGATATAATTTTACCTAAGTAAGCAGGAAGTCATTGCAAGCAGCTTCCAAACTTCTAGAATTGACAGAGACATCATGCTGCCAGGACAATCACCCAGAGTTCTTCTCTAATGTTGAGGCATCCACCTTCAGCATATAGATCCATAGTATCCAGCAGACTTCTTCCATGAAGCATGAAATTTGAAAGACTACTTAGTCTATATTGGTACTTCGTCAGTCACTTTCTTTTGTGTCCATCAGGATGTCTGGCATTTTCTTTGGTGGAGCAGGAACACTGAAGTACTGTCTCATCTTCTTTAGCAAGATCGGCAATCAATTTTTTCTGGGTCCTGCATATACAGATCATATAGCTACCATCACAAAGTCCACCTAAGAGTGTTTCTTACCCAAAGTGCTAGCCTTGCCACACTGAAGGGGAAATTCCATAACGAGTTTCTTCAATTCCCATCAACCTCTTTAAATAGATTGTTGCTCCCCCAAGCTGACATATATCATTATCAAGAAAAGTTTAAGTTCTTCAAACATTTTAAATTCCATATTCTGTAGGTCTTTGAAGTGTTGAAGTTTATCTATCTAAATGAAATATATTTCTATATATCTAGAAAACTTAACTAATAAGACTGAAGTTTGATTATTGTAATCGACAATCTATTAACTTGTATTTTTTAATTATACAATGTATTTTCAAATTAGCTGTGCAAACTTATTATCTTAAACATGAACAGAAATACATGCACAAAGTGTAACAAAATCAACCTTAAATTGTGTCAATAGACTAATATCCATACCAAATGCAAAGTGTTCATCTTTAGATTATATTCCCCTTTAAATGAAAACAAATATTTATAATCAATCATTTGGGAAATTTGGGCATAGTTTTCTTCAAATTGCTTCCTTCTATTCATTGGGAAATGTATTTTTAGGGTTAACAGAGATATTTCAGGGAATCTTGTCCCATCAAAACCTATTAGCCTGAAAGGAATCCACAGGTTCTCATCTACTGTGAATACGAAAGCAGAAGCTCTTTCCAAAGCAACATAATCTTAGACTCAAATTTTCAATTCAAGAGACTTTATGTTGGTTTAATTTAGAAGCCCCCAGAATCAAATGTTTCTCTTCAGTCAAAAATGTCAAGGAAAACACAATAATGTACATCAATTAGATTCCCTGTGTATATTCCATTTTTATGTGGATTATTTTATCGTTTTTACACCTTTAATCTACAACTGTGATGTTGGGAGGTCATTTGTCAATCTTTTATTTCATTGGTTAATCAATAAAGAAAACTGTTTGGTCTGATAGGTCAGAAAATTAGGTAGGCACAGAACAGAATTCTGGGAAGAAGGGAAGTGAGCCAGATGCCATAGCTCTCCTCTCTGAGGCAGACAGGATGAAGATGGACATATGCTAGAATCTTCCTGGTAAGCTACCACCTCGTGGTTAGTCAAGATGTGAGAGTTAGCCAAGAAGAGGCTAGATATAATGGGCCAAGGAGTGTATAAAAGAATACAATTTGTGTGTTGTTATTTCGAGGCATAAGCTAGCCAGGCGGCTAGGAACCAGGTGGCGGAATGCAGCTCACTGTTCCTTCTACACAACTGTTTATACTCTTTTATATTACTTTTATTGTCTCTTTATAGAAGCTGTTTTATTTTTAAACTATTTCTTTTCATAACAATAATCTTTTTCTTCTTTCTCTCAAACCTATGTACATTTTTTAAACACACTCTGACCCGTTCAGCATTTTATTTCTATCTGTATCTTTCTTTACTATTTGTCTGTAATCATTTTCTGACCAGAATCACTTTTTTAAATGTTAAGCAGGCATGAATAGGACCAACTTCATGGCCCTGACTGTGTGCTCTGCCCAGTCCAACATGGTGGAATCATGTTCACAGGCTCTGTCAGCCATGCTTACTACCCCAGCTCTAGGGAAACAGTGGGTCTATGTTGCCATTAAGCAATTTGAAGCACTCTGCTTACAAACCCCACTTAAATGCTCCATAACAAAACCTTCCATCAAATATAGAGCTATTTGTGTGCTGCCAGCATGAAACAGGGTCTTGGCTCCTAAAAGGGCTCTGCAGTTTTTGCTGCTAATGCTTTGTCAGGAAGCCTTCTATTAAAAGAGCCTAGCCATGTCTCTGCACACCACCAGCAAGCAGAAAAAAATCTAAAAAAAAAATGTGGCTACCAAGAAGCTGTGCTTGATTCCTGTTTTGGTAGTTCTAGAGGCCCTATTTTCTTTAAGTTTTTTTAGGACTTATGTGGATCCGTGCCCCAGAGAGTGGGTGCCATTTTGTAAACAAGGACTATATATTTGTTTCCTGGCAGCACACACCCTAATAATCACACTGAAGCTGTATTAATTATAACAGAGTTTGATCTATTAACTCAGATTTCTTTTATTTTTCAGTTTTTTCAATACCTGGTTTCTCTGTAGTTTTTGGAGCCTGTCCTGGAACTCACTCTTGTACACGAGGCTGACCTCAATCTCACAGAGATCTGCCTGCTTCTGCCTTCTCTATGCTGAGATTAAAGGCATGTGCCACTGCCCAGCTAGCTCAAGATTCTTATTAACTAACTTTTACATCTTAAATTAATCCATATATACTAATCTGTGTATCACCATGAGGCTATGACCTACCTGTAAGGTTTTGGCTTCCTATCCTTCAGCAGCTACATGGTTTCTCCATGACTCTGCCTTCTCTCTCTCTCCCTCCCCGCCCGTCCTTCAACCCTCGCTATAATCTGCCCTGCCATAGGCCAAGGCCACTTTATTAATTCCCCAATTATAAAACTAACACATATACAGAAGTATATCCCACACCACTACTATGTGGGTATTAGGATAAATATTTTTAACACAGTTAAGAAATTTACTGGTTTGTCAAATTGCATTCAGGGTACTATTTTCTTAGAACTATTTCCTCACTAGAGCAAGAAACTAAGGTTCTACTAGCATGCATGTGTTCCCTTTGTTGAACAATCCTTACACTCAACAAGTGGTACTTATAAACAAAATATGAGCCAAAATTGCACCACTGTATATCCAAATGCATTTAAGCATATATAAATGTAATTGTTAGTTTTTAAGTATATTTCTTTAGAGTTAATTAAAGTTAATTTGGACATAAGCAATGCCAATTTATGGTTAGAAAATCACATGAAGATGTATTACAAAAGGAAATAGATGAGTTTCTTGGGAAGTTGCAGTGAAGGGAATGTAAATTATTTTAATAGTATTAGCTATACAATATTAATACACTAGAGGCCTTCTTGTAGTCATGAAAATGTTATCAATTTGATAATTATAAAATAATGATGATTCATCTCTAAACTTGCCTCAGCATCTCAAGATGTAACATTGTTGACAATCCTGTAGCACAGCATCTTTACAGCTTAGTCAAATCAATATTCAGCCTTTTGATTTATTCCTTGCAGGCCATGACTGGGTCATGTTCTAGCTTCATGACTTAGTATCTCATTTGTATCTCATTCACCATTGCTTAATTCATAGATCATGTTGCTATTTTACTCCTTAATGGAATGGAGCTAAGTCATCTTGACCGGGAACCTAATCTTGCTAGCTGTGCTTCATCTATTTAAACACTTTGAACTCAGTAATGAATGTACAGCTATACTTAGTCCATAAAAACTTTGAGAATATTTTAAGTATCTTGAAAGAGCTTTGGAAAGGTAGCATTGTTTCCCCAATTCTCCTATTTATTCTAATTCAAATTATGTTTTCTTATTTAAGGGGAAAATGAGTTATGAGTGCCTTAAATCAAATGTCTACTGAACTCAGGTAGAAAGAGACTTATAACCTTCATGTTGTTGTCATACAGTAGACATGAAGCATTAGAGTCAAGTACCTGCCAATGTTCTTACCATCTTTAATATACAGGGTTTCCTCTTACAAATGAGTCTTCTTATGTCCATATAAATTTCTCCACAGTCTTAACAGTTCAACATTGTACACACACACACACACACACACACACACACACACACACACACACAGGTATGTAATCTTAGAAGTGCAATTTTGACCAACAGGAAATATAAGTATGAATAATGAAGTTTAGATATCTATACCACAGTCTCTGAAATGCCATTTATTTCAGCCACTGCTGTACCTTCTAGATTCTGTGATATCAACAATCTAGAATTGTACAATATTGTATATTCAATTGTAGCCTAGCTGTGGCAGGGGAGAATTTGTTAGTTGACAATATCAAATCATTCTTAGGAGAATCGCAATCAACAATCGATATATACACCTGAAAACCTGACAGCCACGTTGATTGATCTGTATCTTGGTGGAACAGATTCTTTAAAGACAACAATGAGATTTGCTCTTTTGCTCCTGCTGAAGTACCCACATGTCACAGGTGAGATTGTACGTGGTAAATCAAAGCATTCTGGAAGATGCTGGCAAGATGCTGCCAGTACCCTGTGTGGTGTTATTCAAAAATCTCAATATTTAACTTGCAGTTCCACTGGCTGCAAAGGGGAGCACAACTGAGAAAAATGAAGAAACCACAGCTGAAGAAATGTCCATCAAAAATTGTCCTTTATTTGTGCTTCCTGGCAGGCAGTCTGTTCTAGGCTCCTAAAGCATATATGGAACTGTGGCTGAATATTGACTTCACCAATTTCAGGCTTTTAGAAAAGATGAATTCTTGGAATTACTTTCTTTATTCTCATAAATTTAGTTATGTGGTAAAGAAAAAAGACATCACCTCACATAAGTTAATAAGTAATCTTAGTGTTTTATGCATTTTTCCTGTGAAAATTTACATTCTGTGAAGAAATCAAGACTGTTTGGACATTTAGAAGTATATTTTCAATGATGTTGAAATTAAATCAGTATTTGAAAGTTTTACCAGAGTCTATAAAGGTTCTGCTGAACAATAATCTTTTCAAACATAACAAAAGTTTTCTTGTCTGGTGGAGCAGCCAACAGCTTTAATATATTGTAAATGACAAAAGGGAAAAGTACAAACTAGAGTGAAAAGACATGAAGTAATCAAAATAAGTATCAAAAATGAAACCTAACTCTAATATTTGATATAGGCAATGATATTTATGTATCTGCAATTCTTTCCACAATGAGTGTCTATATTACTGAGTATGATAATCTAAGATCTATTATCGAGAAACGAAAGGATGCATGTGTACATGTGTACTGACATGTGTGTGATATGTGTTTGTATTAATAGATATGCAATTATAACTAGAATGTGTGTTTAATTGACATTTTCTTTTTCCATACCAATAACTCAATATAAAAACAGTTGTTGTTAAAATACAAATATATTTCCAAGTAGTGTTTGGTGTTAAACCCGCCCACTGATGATTAATAAGGTAACTGGAGTAAAACTGTACGGAGACCCACACACACCCTGTTACTTTTCTCCTATTTCAACATTTGTCATTGCTCCTAACCAGCTAAAGTCCAGGAAGAGATTGACCGTGTGATTGGCAGACAACGCAGCCCCTGCTTGCAGGACAGGAAGCAAATGCCCTACACAGACGCCATGATTCATGAGGTTCAGAGACTCCTTGATATCGCCCCCAACAACCTACCCCATGAAGTGACCTGTGATGTTAAATTCAGGAACTACCTCATCCCCAAGGTAAGTTTATTTCTTCTGTACTGCACTTCTGTGCTAGTGATGCTCCCAGGTCACAGTGTGGTTCCGGTCCTCTGAGTCACACTGTTTTTTTGGGTTCCTTATGCTGCTTCATAACCAGGAAGGCAGTCCTACAGCAGGCAGGGACACCGTAGTGATAATTCTACTTTGCTCAACCTTCTATATTTTGCTTGGATGAAGATTGGGGTTATATATTTCCACATGATTTTCCAATTTTCATTCAAATTCATTCAAGAAAATTTTGTGATTTTTATCATAGAGAAAAAAATTAATAAAAACTTTGAGGAGGTTATATCCTGCATTATTCAAGCAATAGAAAAAAATTATACTTTTAGCTGTGCTTTTTTTCTGCAAAATGATTTGGTTTCACTGATGTAGTTTGAAAATATTTTCTTTGAGTTTCAATGAATAATGAATATTCTTGTAATTGTATTTTTAAATAAAGTTGTAAAAATTGATTTAATCCCTATATTGATCTTACTTCACTCAAACTCATATATTTTACTAGTTGAACAAATGCGTTATCTTAAAATGTATGTAGAATGTACATTATACTTAATTTTTCCACGTAATATTTTATGTATACTTTTATTTTTAATCTTTTTTTCTATACTATTGCTTATGTTATTATTGAACTAATTGATGAATTATAGATAGCATGAAATAAAACTGGGTTTTAATTTCTATCCTCACTAAAATAGAATGTTTTAAAATTTTTATCAGTACACAAAGAATGTGTGAGCAATTACAGACTAGAAGGGAGTTGGGAAACTCAAAATGTAAATTATGCTTTCAATTCATGATTCATTTAGAGCACAGATGGAGTTGACACAAATATGTGATGAAGTTGAGTGAGTGAATAGGGAACACGCATTTCATTTCTGATCAATGTAACTGCAATATCCACCTGTCAAACCAATGTCTTTGGATAATTTGGGATTTATTTATATCTGATTAAGTTGTGGCAAAAGAATCTTCCTGAGATATGAATTGTGGTTTTTAGTACTGAAGTCTAGCATAATATAACAACACTTAATTTATGACTCTACATATAACTAAATAATAGTAAATAGACTAAAATAATGGGACAGAAATGACTTATTACTAAAACAAGTGGATCAAATACTTCAATATAAAACCAGACTCACTAAACATGATACGAGCGGAAATACATATTAGCGTTGACTATACTCGCACAAGAGACTATTTTCTTTCTTTTTTTTTTTTTTTTTTTTTTTTTGGTTTTTCGAGACAGGGTTTCTCTGTGGTTTTGGAGCCTGTCCTGGAACTAGCTCTTGTAGACCAGGCTGGTCTCGAACTCACAGAGATCCACCTGCCTCTGCCTCCCAAGTGCTGGGATTAAAGGCGTGCGCCACCACCGCCCGGCAAGAGACTATTTTCTATACAGGAACTTATATCCCAGTCACTAAGATTAACAATTAATAAATGGGACCTCATGAAACAGAAAAGCTTCTGTAAGGCAAAGGACACCCTCAATAGGAGAAAACAGAAGCTTACAGAATTGTAAGAAGTTTCCACTTATTTCACATCTAACAGCCAAAATCTAAGATATATAAAGAATTCAAAGAGCTATAAATGAGAAATAAAAAACTCTACTTAAATATAGGATATATATATATATATATATATATATAGAGAGAGAGAGAGAGAGAGAGAGAGAGAGAGAGAGAGCCTCAATAGAGGAATCATAAGTCACTGAGCAAACCTTAAATTTTCAAGATCCTTGGCCATCAGGGAAATGTAAACCAAAAGTATTTTGAGATTTCATCTTATACCTGTTAGAATCAATAGCACAAGTAACAACACATGTTGACAAGAATGTGTAGCAATCTGGATGCTCCTACATTGCTAGTGGGAGTACAAACTTTTAAATACACTACAAAAATTAATATGCATGTTGCTGTGAATATTATTAATCTGTCTACCTCAAGAACCAAATTTTCCACTTGATGGGCAAACACTGAAAAAGATGATCCATCCTACCAAAACCACACTTGCACAACTATGTTCATAGCAGTTTTGCTTATAAGATCCATGAACAAGAAAAACTATAGATTGCCCCTAATTTAAGACCCCATAGAAAAATTGTGGTCTATTTACTAGCAGAATATTATCAGTTGCTATAAATATTATATCATGAAACTTGCAGGCAAATGGATGCAACTAGAAAAAAATCATCAAAGTAAAGTAACCCAGGCTCAGAAAAAACTAACATGGTATTTGCTCACTTATAAGTTGATAGTAGCTATTAGTTAATGGATAACTGTTAATCCACAGACCCAGAGAGGCAAAATAACAAGGAGGGCTCAAGGCGAATTACACGGATGAACCTGGAAAGAAAAGTAGAATAGATTTGGTGGGTTCTGAAGGCTATTGGGAATGGGAAAGGGGGGGATCATGTTTGTTGGGTGATGGAAGAAGAGTTCATGGGACAAAATAACTAAAATTTAGTGGCATTTGGGGATAATGGTGGAAACCTTGTTCAGGGGAAATCCCTGGAATCTGTAAGTGTCTTTTTAGGACTCCTAGTAATAGGGGCTAAGGAGCCTAAACCATCCATCTTCTACTAGCAGGCAAAGCTTCCAGTGAGGGACTGGAATACAAATCAGCCACAAAAACCTTAGCCAACAATTTGTCCTGCCTACAAGATGTTATGGGGTAATGGTAGCTCTGAACTTGTGGGAGTGGCCAACCAATGAATTGTCTAATTGAGGCCCATGCCAGGAAAGGAGACCCAAGTCAAACGCACCTGGACGGAAGCACAGTAAACAATTAAACCACCCAGAGACCTAGGGTAGAGTGAAAAAGACCTGGCATAAAACAAAAATGAAAAATAATAGATGTTCTTTGAAGATAATCTGCTATATAGATCAGTGGTCGTCAGAGAGACTTCCGCTGGCAGTTAATGTGAACAGATGCAGACCGACAGTGAAACCTTAGGCAGAGTTTTGGTTCTTGTGGAAGAGGAGGAAGGATGGTAGGAGTCTGAGGAGTCATGGATGCCAGGAGAACACAGCACACAGAATTAGCTCAGGAGGGCTACAGGTGCTCACAGAGACTGAAGCAGCCATCATGGAGCCTGTATGGATCTGCATGCACTATGTCCTCTGAAAGTAGCTTTGGTTGTTTATCTTGGGTTTCTAGTGAAACTCCAAACACTGGCGGTGCAGGTATCTTCGGCACTTTTTCTTGTTCTTCTACCCTTTTCCTCCTATTATGTTTTATCTTCCTGCCTTGATATGGATATTTTTGCATAGCTCTATTGGATATTGTTAACTTTTGCTAAAATGACATTTCTGTGAGGACTGCCTTTTCTGAAGGGGAACAGAGTGGCAGTGGTTCTGAACGAGAGGGTTAATTATGGGAATAGGGGGATTGGAAGGAGATGAGGATACAGAATATGAAAGAAGGATGAATAAAAAAAATTACATTGCTTCCTTTCATGTTCCATTAGTTCTGGTCCCTCATAAACAGCATCCCTCCTGCTTGTATATGTGTGTTTATATACATAGATAGTATATGTGAGAAGCGGCTGTTCCATCGTTGACCTATAGGAATGCATCTATATCTGAATTCTATCCATGAGAGTAACCAATTGGTGTCTGTGTGTCTAGACTTTGTTTGTGTCCCATCATGAATGAGTTCCTATACTATTTACATACAGTCCAGCTCTCCACTTGATATCATGACCAATGCGACTTATATAAACCAACTGATAAACTAGAGCAGCAGGTGTTGAAACACCCATGTCCAAGTGTGCAGGAATAGGGAACAGACTCAAAGTATTAGTACCAAAACCTAAGTTCTGACTTCAAATTCAGTTGAGGCACATTAGCCATAGCACTGTGGCTTCTCTCAGACTCCTCCCTGTTCCCTGCATGTTCTGTCTGTTGAGATGCCCCTGATCTTCTTTGTACCTACTGTATGGAGACATGATATCTTTGTAACTTGGTGGCTTTGTGTGAATTGTTTGCAGGGAACGACCATTATAACATCACTATCATCAGTTTTGCATGACAGCAACGAATTCCCCAATCCAGAGACGTTTGATCCTGGTCATTTTCTGGATGCAAAAGGAAACTTTAAGAAAAGTGACTACTTTATGCCTTTCTCAGCAGGTAATATAACCTCATTTTCATGACTTTGGTGAAAAGAGGAACTGTGGGAAATTTTACAGTGACACCTAAGGGACTCATAAAATTGTATTTGCATGATTAGTACCTATGCATTGTCCTTGACACCTCTTCCCTGCTAGGATCAAATTTGGAGGTTACACTTACACACTTCAATAAAGTAAAGAATGCTAGTAGTTATACAATTTGCAGTCTTTCTTTATGTGTACATGTCATTTATACAAAAGACAATCATCATAGAGAATAAATGTAACCTAGCCTTTGAACAATCACCATTAAATAAAGACTGCCATAATGTTACTTTTTTGTTGTTTCACAGTTCTCCAGGATCAGCTATGTAGAAACACATTAAAAAAAAAACTACAGAAAAGCTCTGATAGGATGAAGCCCACTCAGGAAAACAGATGAAAAAGAGGTTGATGTGCTTGGACTTGTGTTTAGAGAGAATCACCCATCCCTGACAAAGACAGTTGCTAGGGAGAAATAGGCACAATTTTCTCTCTAATACTTCAAATATAAAACACAAATATGAATCAACATTGTAATTTATGACTTTCTATCTGACAAAAAGGACATAAATGAAAGACAAAAATTATTATCATTTTACAATCTCATTTATTGTTTGAGTTTTATATATTTACACAAAGACTTCTCTTCAAAACCACACCTATATTTCAACCCAGTCAACAAATGCCTTTAATTCTCACCCTCCACTATTCTCTCTTACAAGTTCGTACACATTCCTTTGTTAGTATACAACTAGTATACAGCACTTTTATGCCTCTTCCAGTTTCCACCCCTTATCTTTTTCTTTATTTTATTAGGTTTAAAAAAATAAAAGATACCAATCCAATTTCCACTCTCTCCCCCTCTGCCCATTCCCCCACAAACCCTCTCACCAATCCCACAACCAATCCTCAGAAAGGACAAGGCACATTGCCTTGTGGAAGGTCCAAGGCCCTCCTTACTATTTTTAGCCTGAGCAAGGTATACATCCAATTAGAATAGGATCCCAAAAAGCCAATACATGCAGTAGGGATAAATCCTGGTGCCACTGCCAGTTGCCCCTTAGTCTCTCCCAGCAATGAAACACACTCTTAAAGCACTGAGTGCACTATGTCCTGCTAGTATGCTTAAGTTTAGTGACATGATCTGAAGAATGAATAACCTATAATTGGCAAAATTCATGATTGAAAACTGGATCTACTCTGAGTAGCCTCTAGCTGCCTGTATTGCTTCATTAGAGAGGAGACTTTTTGAGCATATTCCCAGTCCTGGCTGGGATTTTGACTAATGTTAACCATTATTGCAAAGATAATAAAGGGCTGGGTAAATGAATCAACAATTAAGAGAATTTGCTTCCTTTGCCATAAACCTGAATCAATTGCCCAGCGCTAATCCTGGGAAGCTCAGAACCACCTGTATTCCTTGCTCCAGGAGACCTGGAGCCATCCTCTGAACTTCCTTAACAAGTAACTTTGACATATTCATTCACGTACATATTCAAACATTTATTTTTTTAAAAGACAATAGAGAATTTCATTACACACACACACACACACATATATATATACAATCCTAGGTCTAGGTGTAAGTAAGTTCCAGGTTCCCATGAGGTCATGGAATCCTTGTAGTTGTGGCAGGAGACTCTTTGGAAGCTTTTGGTCTCTGCTACTGCACCAAGTAGGGTGCTGGACCCATATATTGCATCTTCACACCTACAGTATGTATTCTGATATATAACTTGACATGGATGTTCCTTCATGAATCGCGTGATTTTTACAATAAACTCGTAACATGATCCCTTCAACCTCTTTCTTTTTGTGCCAATATCAGGCTGATTTTTATTGCAATAGCTCTGGAGTATAATTTGAAATCAGAGATAGTGATACCTGTAGTCATTCTTTTAGCATTCAAGACACTTTAAGTTATCCTGGGTCTTTTGTGTTTCTATGTAAAGCTGAAAATTCTCCTCTCAGTTTTCATAAACCCTTGTGTTGGAATTTTTATGGAAATGGGATTGAATTTGTAGATTGATTTGATGTGGTGCTCAATTTCACTATATTAATCCTGCTTATTCATGAGCACAAGAGAACTTTCCATCTTCTGATATCTTTGTTTCTTCAATGTCTTGAAGTTTTTATCTTACAAATATTTCACTTATTTGGTTAGAAATACTCAAAAATATGTTTGTTTGTTTGCTTGATTGTTGGTTTGTTGGTTGGTTTACTTAGGTTTTTTTTTATTTTTGTTGTTCTTGTCCTCATTGTTTTAGAATATTGCGAAAAACATTTTTTCTTTAATTTCCTTCTAAATACAATTCTCAACTGTACATAGAAAACCTGCTAATTTTACTGTGTTAAATTTGTATACGGTCACGTTGATGAAAAAGCATTTCAGCTGTCGATGGTCCTGGTGTATATTTTAGCAATTTATAGCTATAATCATAACATCTACAAGTAAGGGATATTTTTAATTGTTCCTTTCCTATTTGCCTACCCTGATTTCTTTCAGGTGTCTTATAACTTTAACTAATACTTCAGATATTATATTCAAATATATGGAGAAAGTGGACATTCCTATCGTGTGCCTGATTTTAATAGAAATGCTTTAAGATTTTCTGTTTAGGTTGACTTTGTCTATGGGCTAATACTAAGTCACTCTTATAATGTTGACCTCAGTTCCTAATCCCTAGTCTATTTCTGGACATTTCAGAGGAAGGAATGTGCTGTTTGGGAAAAACCCTTTACTAATGAAAAGACAATTGTCTTATTATCTTTTACTTTCCTTATATGGTGAATCAAATTATTTGTGTATGTATATTGAACCATTCCTTCATCTCTGAAGCGAAGCCTATTTTAATATTGTACTTAATCTTTTGAAAGTGGTCCTGTATTTGGTTTGGAAGTATTTTATTGAGATTTTTTACATGATTGGTCATGAGGCAAATTTATAAATAATTCTGCAATGCTTTCTCTCTTTCCTTCTCCCTCCTTGTTTTGTTTTGTCTGTTTTTGAGACAGGGTTTCTTTGTATAAAAGCACTGGTTTTCCTGGAACTTGCTTTGAAGACCAGGCTGGCCGTGAATGTATAGAAATACTGCTGCCTCTGACTACCCAATGCTGAGAAAAAGCCTTCACCACCCCTATCTGCCTGGAATTCCCTTTTTCAGTTAGGTCTTCATGTGGTTTCCATATCAGAGTAATTGTAACCTCATAAAATAATTAGGCAATGTTCCTTTTGTTTCTATTTTGCAGAGTAGTTGGGAGTCAATTTTATTTACTGTTCTTTGAAATTGATAAATTGGTTCACAGAGTACCTCTGACCCTGGGCTTATTTTGGTTGAAAACTTTTAATTACTTTTTCAATTCCACTGTGAGTCATAAGTTTATTTGAATCTCTTATCTTAAACCAGATTTACCTCTTGTAATTTGTATATATCAAAAATTTGTATCTGTCTTTTAGGTTTTACAATGTAGTTAGATACATATTCTTCCACTGTGCCCTTATTGTCATCTGACTTTAGTTAGTGGTTTTTTTCGTATGCCATTTTCAAATCTACTTTTATTAAATTATATTTTTTATCTTCACCTTTTAGTATATTTAGTATATTTGTTAAAGGTTTATCAAGTGTATTGTTTTTCCCAACGAGTCAACTCTAACTTTCACTAATTCTTTGCATTGTCTTGTTGTTTTGTTTCTATTTACTCATTTCAGCCTTCAGTTTGATTATTCTTTCCATCTTTACCTCCTGGATATTATTTTTTTCATTTTCTTTTAGAGCATTCAGGTGTGCAGTTAATGCGAGTTCTCTCTGTATCTCTTTCTCTTTACAACCCTTTCTTTTTCTCACTTGCTTTTGTTTTGTTGGACAATGAGGTCTATGACTTAACCTTTTAGGAGGGACTTCATTGTGGGTCTTCGTTTTCAGTGTTCAGTTTTATTCAACTTTAAAAGTGTTTAATTTCTCCTTTGACCCATTTTTCATTCAGCAGAGCTTTGTTCAGTTTCCATGAGTTTTTAAACATTCAAGAGTTTCTTTAGGTGGTGGTATTTGTCTTTCGTCAATGGCAATCAGATGGTTTGCAAGGTCTTCTTTTAACTTTCTTGCGTCTGTTGAAAATGCTTTGTGTTCATGTATGTATTCAGTTTTAGAGAAAGGTTTATGAACTGCTCAGAATAAGGTAGATCATCAATGATTATGTGAAATGATCAGAAAAAATCTGCTACACTAATTTGATTTATGTTGCTATATAATTATATGGCTCATTCATTCCTCTGGTTTGTTTGTCTTTCTGAATAACCTGTCTTCAACAATATACTTCTTAAGATCGTATGCTATTTGGAAAAACATGTACTCAGTGCCAGCATCCTGCCTCAAAGTAAGGGCCACTTAATGACTAGATAATGAATGCACACAATTAGCACCAAATAACATGAGCCATCTTTATTTATGCATTATCAGAGCTTGTTCTACCAGGATTCCATGAATAGTTTTATTATTGGTTTCTATTATTGACTTCTAAGAATTACATCATACCCATCATAAAAACTCTTTTTCCCCTCATCTACTACCCAAACACATATTTTCATCCTTTATACAACCTCAGTCTAGGTATAGAGTCTGACATTTTTGCAAGTTTAATTAACTATCTAGCCAAGCACATTCTGTTCTTACAGCACATATGTAAGCGGGCAGGTAGTTACAGTTTAAAAGTTAAAGGTTATAGACATGGGTACACTGCTCTAAGGACAACAATATTTAAACCTCAACAATTCTTTTGTATCTCTAGGAAATACTTTTATATCTTTTTCTGGCCTTCAAGAAGGTGCTATTGCTCTCATTCTCTTTATAAAAGACAAAGTTTGTCAACATACTCTTCTCCCATTTTCACTGTACCTTTCTACTTCCACCAACAAATTGCTCCTGTGTGTGGTTAAAATGATTTATCCACCCCAGACTTTACATTATATTTTGTCCTCTTGTAGTATACCATATCCTACTCGGTATCCAGGGACCTTATTCTCAACGGTTGGTACTGTGTAATTCCCTTTCTTGTGTATTGATTTCCTCAATCTCCTCAGAACTGTGAGGTATGGTTAATGTTCCAGGTATTGTTTCCTCATGTGAACCAATTATTCTTGCCATTACCGTTCTGAGTTCCTTTCTTCACGGTGTATTGCTATCTACCTTTCCCTGAAAACAATTATAAGGCATATCCAGTTAATTTTTACTGCCTCTACTGATCAGAAAAGTTTCCACAATAAGGCATAGCAAATATTTCCAAATAAGAAAATTGGGAAGGATTAACCCCTGAGGAATCTTAGGGAAAGCATTTGAGGAAGAATGGAGTTTGCAGGGAAAATTAGAGCTGTTGCATGTGTGACAGCCAAAGTAAAAGTAAAAATCACCAAAAGATTCATCAATATAATGAGAGAGACGAGTGCACACCAGCCTAGCACATCTGTCACTGTCCTTCTATGTGCCCAGATCCACTCTTTCCTGACAAGTGACATACCGTCTCCACTGGAATTCCTTTGCAGAGACCCATAGGACTTGCTTATATATGCTGATCTGAGATTGGATTACACAGCTCCTGACACGCCATCTTTTTTTATTTGCTTAAACAATTGTCCTCTAACCCACCCCTACAACTAACCAACCGTCCAATAACTCAGCACTTACATTAGTCTCTAATGCTAGTTCCAAACATACTGCATCCCACACTCACTCACATACAAGGCATAGTTACCTTTTTTGACTTTTTTCCCCTACAGGAAAACGAGTGTGTTTAGGAGAAGGTCTGGCCCGCATGGAGCTGTTTCTGTTCCTGACCACCATTTTACAGAACTTCAAGCTGAAATCTCTGGTTCCCCCAAATGAAATCAATGTTACCCCACAGGTCAATGGATTTGCTGTATTACCTCCCCCTTTCCAGCTCTGCTTCATTCCTGTCTAATGAAGATCAGATGCCTGGTTCCTGCTGTGTTCTTCTCTGAAATCACCCTCAAACCTTGTATTTAACACTTTCCTGGAAGGCATACAGCGTCCTTCCACATTCTCACAGCTTCTGCTCTCTAATTTCCCATGGAAATCATCAGGTCTCCATTTTATAGTCTCTGAAGTAATCATCAAATATTTGCCATTTCGTATTCTCTGTAGCACTGTGACCATCTCTTATACTCTCATTTAGCTAAACCTGTAATTAACATGGCTTCCACATAAAATGTATAGTGTCCAACTATATAATAATTCACAATTATGTTTCTGTCTCTTGTATATCCTTGACAACACATATTAAATTTGTACTTCTGATTTCAACAGACATTTCATCAGTTTTAAAAAGAGGTGAAAGAAAAAGGAGTTCCCAAAGTTCCTGCTGGACTATATAACAAGAAATTTTCAGAATGTAAAGTGGGAATACTGTTGAGATGGCTCAGACAGCAATGTTCTTGTCATACACAGTTCAAGTACATACTTTTATATTGAAAACAAAACTTAAAGGTCATACCGCATGGTGATTACTATTTATACTACAGTGGGAGACTTAGTCAAACGCATCGCTGGATAGAGCCAACTCATCTAGTACGATTGCCCAGCTCTGAGTTTCACTGGGATACCCTGTCACAACACCAAAGACTGAACGCAGACCTCCACATGATCATGCAAGTGCACACACTTACATACACAACACACAAAGAGGCAAATACTCACTATTTGTAGAAGTTTGTTACCATACACACACACAGGCCTATACTCTTTCCCAGAACACACATATGAAAAGAAATTTTTGAAGTGGATGGGGTGAGAACACTCTTTAGCTGGGGATCCCCTACAGTTACTGGAAGCACTTGCATTTTAAAGAGATACACAGTGAACAGGAGCAGCAGAAAGCTGTAGAGAAAGAGGTATAATATACAGGAAGAGTAAGGTCATTTTATGCTTTGCTCTTATACAAAATACAAATATTTTAAATTTGTTTTTGACTTGTTTCTTCATGTATAATCCTGGGCATGTATTTAAATTCCATATCTCTTATCATGTCTCTAAGCTCCCGTCTTCTCTACAGCAAGAATAACAGTCAGAGGAAGCATCATTCTTATTATTTTAGTAGCTATATTATCTCCCCACAGCATTGGAATTTATTAAATGAGAAATAACAATCATAACCTAGAGAGAGCAAACTCCTAAATTGCCCAGTGTATGAAAGAAATCAACTAAGACTTTCTACCTGAATATTTTGGGGAAAAGATACTTATAAATTCTCTTGATGGATCCTTTTTTATTCTCTTACATTGAATTCTTCAGTTCTTCTTTGTTCTTCACAGATATATTTACCCAACAGAATCTATCAAGTGATCCAGCAGCAACATTTGAATGTCACATTTCAATTCTTAGGTAAATGATAAAAACAGAGTTATTCCAATAACTCACATGAAATAAATATAAATAACTCATCACATAGCAAGAATGGAACATTTTTCTCAGTCAGCTCCCTAATTTGTGAGCTGTACCTTACAGATGCCAAGAAAGGAGCAGTCATTTTGTTATCTATTAGAGATGTAGTCTTATAAAGCACGAAGCTATAAACCCTTTAAAATCATTTTTTTCTGTCTGTCACTTCACAGGATCTTTTCCCCTCAGAGTTATTCTTCCTGGTGGGCTGACCACTAAAATATCAATTTCCATCTGCTGTTATTTTTTTATGTCTCATGGCAAATGACATCACTCATAAGCTTTCCCATCAATTCCAAAGAAAGCCATTTTGTCTGTTCCCCCTTAGCCACTATAGCAGTGGTGAATGCAGACATACGTCTATATACACATGACTGTCAGTGCAGAAGCAAATGTTCGTGCATCCTACGCAATCTATACACAGATAAAATGTTTTAAAATATCTAGGCCTGGTGAGTGATGGGGGAGCACGTGGTTCTGGAATATGGGTAGTTCTTGGTTGAAAAACTTTCATTCATATTTTTTTGTAAGAGGTAAGTAAATAGGACGGGGTGATTGGTCAGATAAGAGTGGGGACACCTTACTCTTTAGACTGTTTCCTGTTATCTGGGGGCATCAATATCTTTGGGAATCCAAGAAAGCTGGAATGCTCACCAAGCTCAGAAAGAGCAGGCTGTTTCGCTCACTGCCCAGGTTCTGTGGGACCACCAGTGCCTGGGAAAGAGTAGGCAGCATTTGAGATGTTTGTAGCCTTTAATTAATGTAAATCTGCTGGAACAGATACATAGGAGTGATGGAATGTGAAGTTAAGGAGTTTAGGGAATATTTTTATCTTCCATGTGCATTTGAAACTTCTAGGCTCAGAGTTTTGTTACTTAGGGAAGGGTAATTCCATACGCAGAGGAAGGAGGAAGAGATCCCGTCAACAAGCATAGACAATAGGTGTGAAAAGATAGACTATTGATTGACAGGAATACTTATCTGGAGTCCATTTGACCTTTGAGAGGTGGATTAAGGTTGATTTCATGAAGGATGCAAGATTTTTTTCTCTTCTTTAAGATTTATTTTTTTACTTTATAAATAATAACAATCAAAATTCCCACTTCCTCTCCTCTTCCCACTTCCCTCCTAATCCCCCCACACCCTCTCCTCCACCACCCTCCAATCCTAAAGGAGGGCAAGGCACCCAGCCCTGTGGATGGAGACAAAGACAGAGACCCACATCAGAGCACTGAACTGAGATCCCAAGGTCCAGTTGACGACCACAAGGAGGGAGAATATGAGCAAGGAAGTCAGGACCATGATGGGTTGGTTCACCCACTGAGACAGTGTACCTGAGCTAATGGTAGCTCAACAACTCCAGCTGGACTGGGAATGAATGAGCATGGGATCAAACTGGACCCTCTGAATGTGGTTGACATTTGGGGCAGACAGAGGGGCCAATGATAATGGCACTGGGACTTGTCTCTATTGCATGTACTGACTTTTTGGGATCCTTTTTTCTTTGGATGCATACCTTTTTAAGCCTGGATGTAAGGGGGATGGTCTTGGTCTCTCTTAAGATTTGTTTTTTAAGTTTACAAAAAGAAATAAAAATTTTAGATACTTTATCAGTCCAACTATGTGTAATTTGTGCTGAATACACATTATAAAAAAGGCAATATATTCATGCTTTTGACTCATTCTGAAGGTTTTTGGTGGAAAATATAATTCTGGGTTAAAAGCATTAGCACTCATTCCAGAGGGATAGAGATATAGTGATGGAGGAGAGTCATCTGTTTTGTGTTGATTTCAATGGTTAAATAAAGAAACTGCCTTGGCCCTTTAATAGGACAGAAAATTAGGTAGGCGGGGTAGACAGAACAGAATGCTGGGAGAAAGAAGCCGAGTCAGTCAGTTGCTACGGATGTAGGCTAGAATCCTTCCTGGTAAGCCACATGGTGCGACACAGATTATTAGAAATGGGTTAATCAAGATGTGAGAATTAACCAGTGAGAGGCTGGAACTAATGGGCCAGGCAGCGTTTAAAAGAATACAGTTTCTGTGTAGTTATTTCAGGTAAAGTTAGCCGTGTGGGAGTTGGGCGGCGGGAAGTGGCCCGCAGCTCCTACAACAATATAGATGGGACAGAGATGCTTTAAGAACCATGAGAAGCACTTTTAAGTCTAATCATATTAAACAATTGAAGGAAATTTAAAATCTTGAGATTGAGACTATGATAATAGTAGTACTCAACAGAACTAGATTAATATCTTACCAAAATTGCATTGGTTAATGTTAAAACTGAGAAATTTTGAATTTACCCTAAAGAGAAACCAAATGGTAGAGAAACCATAATGGTAGAGGCTAACCCTTACCCAGCACCCTAAGATTAACAATAATAAAATGTGAGTGCATTCATCACCCTGAAGAAAACAACCTCCAAAGGTCCATTGTAGATTCCCCTGATTCAGGAGCTGTGAGTCACTGACTGATTACTTATCTGTCCCTCTAGCGTGTTCTTATCTCCTCCAGAAGAAAAGTTTGTGCTGATATTGGTGAGGTTGAATACAGTAATGATAATATTCTAGTCCTATAGCCTAAGCTATATGCCTCAATGTTAGAGAGAAACATTTGTTGTCTGTTCAGGCAGCTACTCATTCTGTTATTTCCTATAATTTTTGGTAGTCACTTGCTTGGACTTCCTGCCTATTCAGGTAATATTATTTTCCTTCTCAGAGCTTTGATGGGGTTGAAGAATAGATAGCTATAGTTACAATTCTCTTGTACCTTAGCTAAAGGCATATTAGGTACAAGACTTGGATTCTTCAGAATAGGACAGCTATTGGAGTGTTATTATGGTCTGGACATTTAGAATGTATTTCTTGCTTAATGTTGTTTTTGTTGTAGTTTCATTTTTGTTCATTTTTGTTCTTTCATCTGGATAATACTTGATAATTCTTACTGTATATAACTGATGTTGAATTAGAGCCCTCTTTATTAGCTAAAAACAGTGGTGGAGCTTGATCTGTTTGGCCAAAGTATTTTGGGATGATTTGTCATTGGCATGGTTTTTTATGAAGATGAGACTGGATAAAATGCAGGAGAAAGGTTGTACATGCTCTCTTGGGTGTTCCGACCTGGAGCGTGCCTTGTGGTTGATCTTCATCACCCTTGGAAGAATGACAAGACAGCTACAGCTGGATCAGCCACTGCTCTATACTGTTTTCTCGACTGGATATCAGATACAATCCACAGTCCGGGAGAAGCTAGGTAACAAGGAGGACCCTAAAAGAGACACATGGCTGTCCTAGGAAGAAGAAGTAGATGAGATTTTCTGGGTAAGCTCAGGGAGGAATGGAATCTGGGAGCATGAGGGAATGAGATGTGTGAATTGGAGGAGGGACAGAGAGGAAGAACAATGAAAGAGATATCTTGATAGAAGGAGCCATTATGGGGTTAAGAAGAAACCTATTGCCTGGGAAATTCCTAGGAATCCACAAGGATAACCTTAACTAAGATTTTTAGCAATAGTGTAGAGGATGCCTGAACTCACTTTCTCCACTAATTACATTGGTGACTACCATAATAGTCATCATAGAACCTCCATCCAGTAACTGATGGAAGCAGATGCAGAAATCCACAGCCAAGCAGTGGGCTGAGCTTCAGAAGTCCAGATGAAGAGAGGGGAAGGATTATATAAGGAATACAGGTCCAGACCATGACAGGAAAACTCCCAGAGACTGCTTAGGTAAACTTGTGGAATCTCATGGACTCTTGACTGACACTTGAAGAGCCTGCACAGGACTGAACTAGGACCTCTGCGAGTGAACAATGGTTGTGAAGCTTGGTATGTTTGTGAGGTCCCTGGTGGTGGGACCAGGATT